CCAGGATCCCCCTCCCTGTGCTCCTTCCCAAGCTTTTTGCACAGGGAAACAGCTCCCAGTCCCAGGATCCCCCTCCCTGTGCTCCCTCCCTGCCCCAAACCCACCTCTGAGTAGCACAGGTTCTGCTCTTTGGACTTGTTTGGCTTCAGTCCTTGTTCCTGGGGAGGAGAAGGCAGGAAGGGTGAGGGCAGGGATGGGAATGAGGGTTTGGCATCCCGGGTTTCCCTGTGGGAATTGGGGCTCGGAGCCCACGGCTGGGGGGTGAGGCACAGAGAGAAAAGTGAGCAGGAGGAGGAGAGGGATGAGGAAAAGCTCCTCCCTTTTCCATGGGCAGCTCAGGGTCTCCACCGGGCTCCTGCCTGGCACCCCTGCTGCAAATCCCACTGCTGTGGGCACCCACTGCCCACAGACCCCATCCCACTCTTCTCCCAAGGGGCAAAACACGGCCCCACAGCAGAAAACACAGATTTTCCATGTTTCCCAAAACCACGTGGAATTGGAGCCACTTTCCCCCCCCAGAGCAGGAGAAGGTGGGCTCGGGGCAGCCACACCAGCTCACCTGGGCAGGCAGGAGGGCCCTGATCCCTGCCTTTCCCATTCCCTTCTCCCAATCCATCCCTACCTGGGCGGAGGTGCAGGCGGGGACGACGCTGGTGTCGTAGATGGTGTTGCTGTCGTTGACGTCGTCGGGCAGGGCCGGGCTCTTCTCCGGCCTGGGAGGCACCGTGACGGGGGGAGAGGGGTTTTTGGGGGCCACGCTCACGTCGCTCCCGTTGCCAAAGGCCTGGATGGCGTTTCCTGGGGGGCGGGAGAGGTTTAAGGGGGGGGGGGGGGGGCGGAGGGGGGGGGGGGGGGGGGGGAGCGAGGGGGAGCCTTACGGAGACAGGGGTTTTCCGTGAAGTCCCGCAGGAACTTCTCGCACTCCTCCTCCATGTTCCCGCTGCCCTTGCAGGAGCACCAGGGCGAGATGGTGATGCTGGTGGTGCTGGCGTCGACGTAGTTGGGGGTCATGTCGAAGCCTGGCGAGGAGGAGGAGGAGGAGGAGGGACAGGGATGAAGCCACGGTGGGAGGGAGGGACCCTTCCCCAGCCCAAGGCCGGCACTCACCGATGAGCCCTGCGTAGGAGCCCAGGCACGCCTGGTAGTTGTCCCCAGGGCAGCTGGTCAGGGACTGGAAGGTGGCCTGGCAGTTGGTGTGGAAATCAGCCAGACGGGACCTGGAAAGGGGAAGAGAAGAGGGAGAGGGATGAGATTGCACTGCCTGTCCCAGCACGGAGCAAAGGGAAATATTTAAACAGGATAAAGGGGAAAATAAGGGGGAATATAAAGAGGATAAATGGAATAAAAGGAAGGAGATCTAAATAAGAGCTGAACTCAGGTGGTGAAACTTCTTGTCCCACCTCTGTCGCCCTGCTCTAACAAGGATGAGCCTGCCCCCATTCCCGAGGGAATGAACCCCCTCCAAGCCTGGCACCCTCATTCCTCCATCCCTCCCTGCTCCCCAAGCCCTCTCCACGTGCTGCTCCACCAGCAGAGACCCCATAAACTTCCCAGTCTTGTTTGGCCTCTCCTGGGCGTCGTTACGGGGCCGGAAAATTTCACTGCCTGGATTTATCCTCCCCCTGGAATGTTCCAGTTAAAATGCCTGAGGTTGGGAATTACAGTTTTCCTTTTTTCTTTTGAAGTTGAGAAGGGAGGGGGGGGAACCCCACCCCCAAAAGGCAGCGGGGTGGGGGTGAGGTGCTGACCCAGCTCCAGGGGAGGGAGAACCAGCAGCACCAGGAGGAATAAGGAAGGGCCACGAGGAGCTGATTTCCATCCCTCAATCCGATTCCTGGTTTGGTTACCCCATCCCATCTTCCCTCCTGCACGGAATAAGTACAAGGAGCGATGGAAGCAGGAGTTTCATGGGAGGTGTCCCTTCCCCGAGGTTTTGAGGTCCCTCCCAACCCAAACACTGCAGGATTCCACCATTCCATGATTATTCCCAGGGGTATCCGTGACCTGACTCTGCTGACACAAACCCGCCCCTCGCGCCGGAACACGAGGAGGAATCCCTGAGGTCGGGAATCGGAATTCCCTAAAGGAGCAGGAAGAGGATGGACAGACAGCCCAGGGGGACAGAAGGATGGGCTGCAGATTCCCGGGGGGACTCAGTCATGGAATGGACAGACAGGAGGACGAGTCATGGCCCCTCTGGATCTGGAGGAATCTCCCACCCCGAGGATGAGCCCTGGCATTTCCCAGCGGAAAAGCTCCTCGGCTCCCTTTTTTCCCCCCACACTTCACACACACCATGGGAGGAACAGGAATACATTATTTCCCTCAGCTTCCTTTCCTCCCTTCTTAATTAAATGTCAGCTTTGTCCAGGTGGTGATTGAATCTTCCAGCGGTACCTGCCTGGAGCCGCGGGAGCCGACGGAAAAGAAGAGGCGAGAAATTGCATCATTTTTCGGTTCCTTAAATAGGAATGATTTGTTTTCAGGAGGCTTTTGAGCAAATTAAACACGGGAACAAATGAAGCAGGGGCTGAACGGAGCAGATTCCTTCCACCCACCCCAGAATTCCACCCCAGAATCCCTCCCTGTTGCAGATCTCGGGGCGGGGACCACCGGAGTGCCAGGGAGGAGCAGGAACACTGGAGTTCCAGGGGCTAAATCCCAGGGAAAGGATGTGGACACCCCACCCCTGGAAGTGTCCCAGGCCAGGTTGGAGCAGCCAACCTGGTGGAATGGGATTCCTGCAAGGCCCCTTCCAACCCAAACCACTCCATGACTCTCAGATTAAGTGGGAATAAAGTGATCCTCAGGTTAAGTGGGAATAAAGCCCGGCTGCTCAGGGCCAGACCAGCACACTGGATGCTCCATATGGGAATCCATTTGGGATTCCTGGAGACTCTTGCTGGTGATGAGGGCCTAATTGGGTGCTAATTGCTGCCCATCCAAACCCAACAGCACCAGGCTCCTGAATATTTCACGACCAAGATGCCGAGATTACTCCAGACCCTGTTTTTTTTTTTCCACAAGCGATTCGCGGGGACCGAGGGGAAAAAAAGGACTTTAAAAGACACGATCCCGGAGAGGCAGCGGGGAAAGGTGTCTGTCCCCCTCCCCTGCAGAGCCGGGGATGTTCAAGAAGCCGCGACAACACCGAAAAAACCTCGGCGAGACATAAAAAACCCGCGGGCCCGCTGGGCACCCTCCTCCCAGCGCTGCCTCTGCCTCGTGTCCTGCTGCAGAGGAATCCTTTTGAAGCTGGGAGATGCTGAGATAAAACAAGAATTAGCCTCAAACGAGGCTGGAAGAGCAGGCAGGTGATTCAAAGAGCCCCCGCGGGGGGACGGGGAGCAGGAACGAGGGAAGCTGGGACAAAACTCCCGCTTTTCTGGATGACCCTCCACCAAAGGTTCACAGGGGAGGGGGAAAAAAAGAGAAAAACAAGCAGAAAGATCAATGGGGAGATTTGTTTGAACTGGGAAAAGTTCTGTGCCACCTCCGGGGAGCGGAGTGGCCTGTGCTGGTGGGAGCCTGAGTTGGGGTTTTGGGGAAAGCTGAATTTCTGCGTGGCTCGGTGGGGCGGGCGCCGCTCCCTCATCCCAAATTTCAGGAGGAATTCCTTCGTGGAAGGGGCTGTCAGGCACTGGAAAGGGCTGCCCAGGGAGGTGGTGGAGTCCCCAAGCTCTGGGTTGGGTGACAAGGCGGGGGTCAGGTTGGATTTGGTGATATCTCAGAGGGCTTTTCCAACCTCAGGTTCCTCGCTCTGGGATGTGGGGACAGCAGGAAAAAACAAACAGGAAAAAAAAAAGGCAAACCCCACAATAAACCGAAGGAAAAAAAACCCCAAATTAGAGGTAAACCATCAAGAGGGGGGAAAAAATCAGGAGAGAAACCAGCCCAACTTCTCAGTCAGGAGTTCTCCACGTGCCTTTCAGGACACCACGTTTCGATTCGCTGCCGATAAGAGCAGCTCAAAGGCTTTTTTTTTTTCTTTTGGTGGTTTTTTTTTTATCCTCTTGCCTCTGCTCGAGCCCTATCATTACCCGG